CTTCTGGGATTCAGCAAAGCCCACAAACGCCTCCTTAAAATGATAGAATATCGGGGTCGTTTCCTAGGCGCATCTTCCCAAGGCGCTTTTGCTTCGCGCACAAAGGCGCGGGAGCCCATCACCCTGCGCCTGCCCGCCCTGCGGGGAAGGGCGAGGGGAGGGCCGGGGCGCTCTGCTTGAGAGGGCAAGTGCTTCTGCAGGGCAGGGAGCCGCAGCCTGCCCAGACCCCCCTTCTGTAAACACAAAGAAAAGGGGGCCTGGGGAATAGAAACCCAAATCCACTTGTAATCGTACAAGAGAATCGGGCGTAATTACTCGAGCGACCTAGATGAAGATTGATGAGGCCTTAAAGCGGCGTTTCGGATCGATCACCCTGCCCCTTTGGAGCCTGCAGCCGGGCTTCCCCGGCTGGGCTGGGCTCGGCTGGGCTCGGCTCGGCTCCTTTCTCCCCGCGAAGGGCGGGAGGGAAGATGGAGGCGAGACGGGGAGAGCAGCAAAGCAAGCCCGGCGCATGTGATTCCGATCAGCTGACTCGGGTCAAGAGGCTACCCCGGTTTATTAGGAACTGGAAAACAATAAAATGAAAGAAAATAGAGTTTGTATCAATATTATCCAGCCCGCCAGGCCGGGCTGCTGAAAGCTGTCACTGAAACTGTGCGGTTTAGCTTCCCCTCGCGCACGCAGCAATCCGTGCCTTCCTCTTTATTTATTTTGCAGCGTAAATGACAAAACATTGTGCAGTGCGGTCTCAAATTGGGTGTTACAGTAAAACATTAAGTAAAACATTAACGACATGACAGTTAGATGCGCCGATACAGGACTAATTCGGGCTAAGTGAGTCATTTGAAGCGTTGCTTGCAAGGTCTGCCCGGGGAGGTGTGCGCGGCTGGGGAGGGCGGCTGGAAGCCCCTGCCCCCCGAGCAAGGTCTGCCTCGCTGCGGAGGAGACTTTTAACTAAAACAGCCAACCCCCTTTCTAGTCCCCGCCGAGGTGACCAGCGTGCCCGTCGCCGAAAGGTGCCTCCGTCAGATGTTGTACCCAGCTTTGCTGTTGGCGTGTCGGATGCGTGTTTGTGCAGGCATGCGGGCGCGTGCGTTTATGTATCTATCTATATATATATGTGTGTGTGTGTGTATACAAATCACCCCACACGCTTTAGTGATTAAATCTAGAAGAGTGGTTTCTATTTAATCGTTTCTTCCGACTAGAGCCAGTGAGCTTCCTAAACGCCGACGCTGTCAGCTTTAACAGTAGATCGCATTCCTATCGAAGATAAAGACGGTGAAAAAGTGACCCCCTTTTGTCTTTCGCATTAAAGCAGAAGTTTTGTTGGTTTGGTTTTTTTTTTTTCCTGAATCAAAACCTAACGATTTGTGCGGAGAAGGCTGCCTTTTACAATAGGCTTTCCCCATCCCATCTTTCCAGTGCCTGCGCAAAGCCTCTCGTTAAGGCATATATTTGAGCGAAATGTTGTCACAGTGATTTTAAAAGGATTAAGTGACAGCAAGTCGAAATAGAAATTATCTTGCCGTAAATATATTTAACGATGCTAGCCTTTGTGCGCGTGTGGTATTGAAGTGG